CTGGAGTTGAATATGATAATTTCTTTGTATGTTTTTTGCACAGCTGACTAGCTGTTTCTTCTCATACAGGCTCTTGAAATAAATGTGTGTTATTGACTGGTCCTTGTCTTTTTGTTACGTAAATGTTACGTAATTAAATCTCACCCTGTACTGCATTTCATGGCCCTTTGACCCTGGTTTTTTTAAATAACCTCACTACATTGCACCTGCAAAAGCTGATGCTGAATAAAATTTTGTTAATCTCTAAGGTGCCACTGGACTCTTGTTTGTTTTTGTTATTGATTTGGAAACTGGCTGTTGATGATCCATTGTTACTCACTGCAGTGAGCTTGAGCTATGGATTCACCAAAAGGAATTTAAATGCTTGTATAATTTTTGGTGATGGGATAAACTGGATGTATGCATTAGCTTTATCTGCTTGCTCAATATTTCAGAAACAGTTAATGTAAAAATTTTCCCTGGAGTATTTTGTAATTAATAGCTTTTACGTTTCTACCTTGGCCTGCAAACCTCGAGATAGTTAATTTTTCGTCTTTAGCCCTGTAAAGTGGGTTCTGATTTTAGATATAAAGATGCTAGTCTTTTAGGTGCCACAAAATTCCTTATTATTTTAGGGACAGGTAGTTTAGGTTTATAGGTGGATATTCTTCTAGGGCTGATAAATATGATCTGAACAAGTGTATTATCTGTTACTGAAGAAGGATCTAGGGCTGATAAATATGATCTGAACAAATGTATTATCTGTTACTAAAGAAGAATATGTTGACATGGTCATGTTCCTTCTCCTGTGATCATAACACCGTAAATCTTCCTACTTGCAAGGGAATGGGGGTAGTGTTGTACAGATGCATCGAATTATCGGATTGATATTTTGCAAACCTTCTGGTTGCCAATTGCTGTTGGCAGTTTGCAAAGACAGGAGGCAGTGGTGCAAGCAGAGGAATCTGAGGCACCTTTAATGGTTAGGCATTTTTCGTGTTCATTTCTGACCCTGCCAGGTTGAAGTGGAGTATAGGATACTCCT